GTGTGTGTGTGTGTGTGTGTGTGTGTGTGTGTGTGTGTGTGTGTGTGATGGGGGTGGAGGGAAGGGTTGGTAATTGCAGAGAGGATTGTGGAATATGGATGGTGGGGGAGTCTTTTGGCTGTGGGGTCTTGCCCAAGTCAGGTCGTTTTTATCATCTCTAAGATGAGGATGTTGGCCTAAATGGCCTCTCAGGCCGCTCCAGACCTCTTCACAGCTGTGGCTCATCCGTTTCGGTGGGATTCTTCCCCTAGTCATTGCAGGGCTCTCTGACCCCCTTGTCCAGTGAGACTTATCAGCTGGGCCAGGAGGAAGACTGCCTGAGCACATGAGGCCGTGAGACTTTGACCACTTTGACCCTTGGGAAGTTCACCTCTGGAGCCTGACATGTGCTGCTCGTTTTCTCTTGTTTCAGTCTGTTTACGTGATGACGTTGAGGAACTGGAGAGAGGTGAGTCTGAGCCACTAGATGAAGTCACAGAGTGAGAGCGACTTCATCCTTTGTCTTTTAGGAATCTTCAGGCCAAACCATCCAGCAAGAAATGACTTAGTTTGCCAAGGCCGAGGGTCCCCATTTTCATGTCTTTTCATGTCCAGGCCAAATTTATGTGGCCATTGTACTAGTGAGCTCTTTAAAAACAATAGTGACTTAAGAATAGAAAACACCGGTGATTGAAATCACCTGTGCTGACAATGAGCTGCAGTTTCTGAAAGACCTCAGGCTGAGGCAATACAGAAATGTGAGTCACAGCCTGGCCAGGATGGCGAGCAGGCTGGCTGAGGGGCAGGTGTGACCTGGGCCTCTCAGTGGTCCAGGCAGCTCTAAGGCTGGGGGTTACAGGCTCTGCCGACTCAGTGGCGGCACATCGCCACGTAGGGGAAGTCAGAGGAAACACAGGTCCGCCCAATATCCCAGACCCTGGGCGTCTCCCGGAGGGCTGTAGCATGCTCCCTTGTTCCCTTGCAGAGAGTGGACCATCTCCTGAAGCAGGAGTGTCTGACAGAGGCCCTGGCTCTCGCCTGGTCTTTCCATGAAGGGAAGGCCAAAGCTGTCGTAGGTGAGTTGTCTCTGCAGGCTCCTTTTTGGGGCGTCCCTCTGAGCACCACAGATGCCTCATGAACCAGAGGGTGGAAGGAAGGAAGGGGGACACCTTCCTGGTCATTCACTCTGAGAGGAGATGGGGGCAGGTACGGTTCAAGAAAACATCCGTTTTCCAATCATTGATTTAATGAGCAAAAGGCTACTGGAAACAAGAAAGGAAAGGGCTGCTCTCCTGGGGTTTGGGCTTGCTTTCCCGAGGCATGTCCCTGTCGGAATGTCCCACCAAGCCCTGGCCCTCTTGACACCACTGGGATGGTTGGATTGGCTTCCGCGTCACCCTGGGTTTTGTTTCTCTGCAGGCTTGTCGGGGGACGCAAGTAAACGGAAGGCTGTCGTTGCCGATCGGGTGAGTTCTCTACAGACGGTGCTCTGCACACCCAGATTGGACAGGCTGCATTAGCCTGGCTCCGCTGTAGTGCCCCAGAGTTACTATGGACGGGAAAGATGTGCTTCATCCCCATGTCTCACTTCCAGTGCTCTCCCAGCTTTTGCCCACCAGTAACCCCTTTGGCTGGTGGAAGTTTCCTCACGTCCCAGGAAATCAGATTTTTTTGTGGAACTGGTAGAGGGGAGCACTGCCCCTGGGACCCTTGGCCTTTTGGGAGCTCTCCCCACATTCTGTCTGCTGTGTAACCCTTGACTTGTGGAAGGGAGCCCCGACCTTGAAGGAGAACTAGGAGATCTCCAAAGGAACACTGTTGTCACTTAGGAAAAATGGATCCAGTCCGACACCCAGCTCAGTGCCAAAGGTCACAAAAGACATCTTTCCCCCTCCCCCATCCCCTCTCTGGCAAAGGTTCGAATGGACAATGAAGTGACCGGAAGGACAAAGAAGGAGCCAATATTATCCAGAGTCACAGACGGCCTTCAAACAGAATTGTCAGTTGCTCTGGAGTGAATTCTATGAGCACGTAGTTTTGAGATGCTTATAGGATGCTAGATTTAGAGCTGGAAAGGGCCTTAGGTATCATGAGGCTTCATCCCCTCCTTTGACAGATGGGCTGGGGGCAGCAGACATCAAGTGACTTGCCCAGGGTCACACATATAGGAAATATCCACCATAGGATTTGAACCAGGCTCTTCCAGCCTCCAGGTCTGGGGCTGTGTCCATTCTATCACACTGCCCGGGGCGGTGGCAAGATTAGGAGTCAGAGAACCGGGGTTCAAATTTGAGCCCCGTCATTCAAGGGCTCCTGTTCCTTCCATGCCAGGCACTCCACTAAGTTCTGGGGCTACAAAGAAAAACAACACAGCTCCTGTTCTGCTGAAGTTTACATTCCTGTGGGAGAGACAATACCTGCAAGAGGGCTGTGTTCTTCCTTGGGCAAGTCACAACCTCTGGGAACCTCAGTTTCCTCATGTGCAAAGTGATGCAGGCTAGATTAGATGATCCCTAGGTCCTGTGGTCTAGTCCAGGTATCCATCCCTTGTACAGATTCCCTCAAAGAGAGGTCATCCCACCAGGGCTCAAGTGCTTCCAGGGACCAGACCCTAAGAGGAAGGGATGATGATGATGGTGATGGTGATGATAACGACAGTGATGATAATGACCACAGTGATGATGATGTGGTCTTTAAAAAGGTTCCAGAGACGTGATTTCTGGGTAATTGCATCATTTTGTTAATAATGCTGGCATTTTAATAAAAGGATGGTCTCTCTCTTAGACCAAAGACAATCATGGCGGGCTCATGGCTTATACACCATTTTGGAAGATGCGTATTCCTGAGGGTGGCAGTCAGCTCTGATTGGTTAACAGTTAATGAGAGGTGGACTTTCCAAAGAGAAGAGAGCTCACTCCACTGAGGGGCTGTGTGACATCATGTCACTCTTGGACAGACCACCCCCAGCTTTGGGCAGTCTAGACAAAAGGACCTATCTGCCCAAGCTTGATTGGATGAAATTCACCTTAGACTAGAGAATCCTTGTAAGGTTGGGTGGAGTCGGATAGAGGAGAAGGTCAGCTCAACCTTCAGAGACTGAGGTCTTGAAATGAGGATAATAGAAAAGGGAGAATCTGAGTCTCCCCAAATCATTGGTTATTAATAATCATTTCAATGATGGTGATAGTGGTCATGGTCATGATGATGAAGATGTTGATGGGACGTTTACACTGTAGTTTCATTCTCTGCAAGGCTGGTTGATGTTAATGGTGTTTCTTTCCAGATGGTTGAAATCCTCTTCCACTGTGCAGACCGAGCTTTGAAAAAATGCCCAGACCAGGGTAAAATCCAGGTGATGGAGCAGCATTTTCAGGTATGTTTGAATGGCTTCTACCTGGAGTTGTCTCTCTTCACAGGGAGTATTATCAGTATGAATTATTTTAGTGGCAGCTTCTTTACATTCTAGTTTTTTAAAATGTTCTTAAGATGTTATGTTTCTGCTTAAGGACATTTTTAGGCCTTATTTTTTTTTTCACATCAATTCTTAGGTTTTCCTGTGAAAACAAGTGAGCAGAACATTGTGGGCTATTGATTACTTTTTACTGGGTTGGGAGAGGATGCTTGTGAGGCACCAGGAGGTGTCAGAGCTTTGGGTGCATTCAGGAGGGGCAGGAGGTCAGGTTGGTGAATGATCAGCTCGAGAGCTCGCTAATCGGAAGGCTCAGGACATCACAGACAGCATCTGGGGCAGCTGCGGAGGGGACCCCCTTTCCCAGGATCCCCTTGTGCTCTAGAGTAGAGAGAAGATATGGTTTCCAGGAGCAGCTGGGAGGCTTGTCAGTTGTCCAGGAGGCCCGAGCACTGTGGGCCCTGGCAGCAGAGCCGTGCTGAGAATTGTACCTCGTGTTCCGTGGAGCTCTGGGGTGCTTTTCCTTTTACTCCTTTGCTGTGGGGGAGATGCAGAAAGAATGTTTGTGTGTGGAAAGTTCAGTTTTCAGAGGGGCAGGGAGGATCCTACCTAACAATCCCTGAAGCCAGCATGTGCCACCATTGCTGCTGACCCCGGCCCCTCCCCTAGCACAGCTCCTCACCAGCTGGGTCATGGGCGGTTTGCCCAGGGAGAAGGGCACGATGGCCGTGGGGTCCCAGGCTGCCAGGGAATGTCAGGGGGGGCTTTGCTTCTTCCCCGCAGAAGTGTGACCCCACCCTAAGTCAGAGTCTGGGGGGAGTAAGGAAATGGTGTCAGCATCCCAGGGCAAAGGCCTGGTGGTGCCCTGCTGCTTACAGCTTGGACGTGGAAGGAGCCACGGCAGGGACCTGGAGAGGCCACAAAACTGCTGGTTTTCCTGTTTGAGGTCCCAGTCATTTCCAGCTGCTGCAACTGCAGGTTACCAGAGGAGCCAGAGGAAAAGGGAGAAGGGCTCGAGGGGCCTCCCTCACTCGTGGGACCAGCTTGCTTAGCCTTGGGACGAGACAGAAAATGCAGGAGAGAGGGCAGGCGGGGGGTGGGGGGGAACAGCAGGTGGGCTTTGGAGGAGGCGAAAAGGAAGGAGGGTCCAGGGGAATCAGGCAAATGGCAGCGCTGGCAGGGCCAGGCTCTCCAGCAGATGCCCCGCAGGACTGTTAATGCCACCAAGTAACGGCCAAGCCATACGCGTCCCCTGGGAATTTGTTTTCTACTGGGCCCTCACAGGAAGCCTTTTCCTCTTCCCCTGTTGTTTCTTTATTCCCTTTCTCACAGAGGCTGCTCTGAGCCTTCTCTCCTCATCTTCCTGAGTTCAAATCCTGCTTCAGACACTTACTAGCTGTGTGACCCTGGGCAAGTCACTTCACCTCTGTTTGCCTCAGTTTCCTCATACATAAAATGGACATAATAACAGCACCCACCTCCCAGAGTTGTTGTGAAAAATCAAATGAGACAATCATTGTAAAGCTCTCTGGGCACATAGTAGCACGTGGTAGGTACTTAGTAAATGCACGTTTCCTTCGCTCTTTCCCTCCCCATCATTGGAGATCTTCAGTTTGACCATTTGGAGGAACGCCGTCGAAGGCCTTTCTGGGAGGGATGCCGCAGGAGCTGTGAGGTCCCCTGAGATGCTGCAGGGCTGATGAGAAGTTCAGGAAAGGGTAGGGAGGCCCTGCTTCTCTCTCGGTGGGATTAAGCGCTTGGGACAAGAAGTCGATAACTGGGAATGGAGACGCGGCTCTAGCACAATTGCCCCGCAGGTGGCGCTCTTGGCCTTCGCTGGCCCAGCCCTTTGTCTCGCCGTGGCGGCTTTGGGGGGTGGGAAGAGCGTTTCTCTAAAGTTTGCTTCTGGTCCTCCAGTAAACATTGTTGCCTGGGTATTGATTGGTAATTAATTTCCCTTGGGCTTGGGGCCATTTCCATTTTTGTCAGTCTGTGGCCTTTGCTTTTTTAAAACAAGATACTTGAATAACCTTAAAAGGATGTGGTCACTGGCGGGGCCAGCCCCTTTGTCTTACAGATGAGGTACCAGGGCCAGGGAGTAGGTGGGATCCTTAACTGGGGGGATCCTGGTTACAGCTCCCCCGCCCAGGGCCGTCCCCCAGCTCGGGTTTGTCTCTCTCGGTCACAAGGGAATGAGACATGTGGTGAAATTTCTCTGTGCCGCTTATGTGTGGCCCTGCTGCACCACTCCAGGCGCCCCATCAAGGGAGAGAAATGGCACAAGGGAGGCAGGGTTTGTGCTTGGGGAACAAGGTGAGAGATCACAGAAAGAAGCTGGCTCAGAGTCCGCCAAGACCCAGACCGAATCCCCGTCTGTGGCACGACCCCGAGTACCTGGACACGAGGGCTGACGGACCTGTGGGATCTTCCTTGGCACCAGACCTTGCCAGGCCAGGGCCAAGCCGACAGCGCTTCTCAGGCCTTCGGTCACTGCTGGAGGAGTCGGCCCATGTTGGAATGGTGTTCTTCTTCTTCATCTGGGTTGCTGGGGATGGCACACAGAGTAGGGCGGTGGGGGGCCACATTCACAAACAATACTGAGTTTTAAAAGCTGGAGAAGGGGCAGCTAGGTGGCACAGTGGATAGAGCACCAGCCCTGAAGTCAGGAGGACCTAAGTTCAAATGCAGCCTCAGACCTAACACTTGACACTTACTAGCTGTGTGACCATGGGCAAGTCACTTAACCCCAATTGCCTAAAAAACAAACAAACAAAAAAGCTAGAGAAAAAGAAATCCTGGGAAGGGACGTCTGCTCCCTTGGCTGCAGACTTGAACTCTTTCTAGGGCCCAATGCTCTCTCACTCCCTTCTTAAATACCTTGTTTCTATTCCCTCTGTTCTCCTTTTAGCCCATTTTTCCAGTTTTAGAACCCTTCTCCTTGATGGGGAAGACGGGCCAGATCACAGTCGGTGGTTCTGCATTGTCTGGTTTTTGCGCACGTTGTAAAAACCCGGTGCCACAAAGGAAGGTGAACTCTTGCGGTTAAGTGCAGCAAGTGTTTATTTGCCAGGCTCTTGGTGTCTGCGAGGCGGTGTGCTCGCTGGTAGGGACAGCCCCTGCCGTCATGGGGCTTGTATGTGGAGGGACGTTGTGTAGACCAGTAAGTTCCCTCCAGGATGGTGCATGATGAGAGCAAAGGAAAGATTCAGACTGCGTGCTCCCGGAAAACTTGAGGAGGCTGAGGAACTGAAACCCTTTCACTTGGGGGATCCGGGCAGGGATCCTGGAGGAGGTGGTGATAGGCTCGAAGGAAAGGAAGGATCCCCAAAGGCAGAGATGAAGATGTATGCCAGGCATGGGGGACATTTGGCACATCAGTTCAGGACCCAGTGGGTTGTCCGGCTTCTCCGGTGTGCAAACAATGTGTTAAATAATGCTGGCAGATCCGGCTGCCAGGTGCTGCAGGGCCTTCGGTCCCAAGCTCAAGAGTTACTCTTTGATCCCAGAGATGGGAGGGAGGCATTGGACGCCCTGAGCAGAAGAGCTTGTGCTGTGGTCAGCCTCAGGCTGAGACAGATCCATAAAAATGAGCTGAAGAGAGAAGAGATCAGAAGCCTGAGGTTTAGTCCCAAGAGAGGACGAGTCTTGGGTGGAGGCAGGAGCCCTGGGAGCAGGGAGAAGGGCTGGGTGCCCAAGATCGTGTGACTAAGGGACCATCTAGTCCAACCTCCCTCGCGTTACAGATGAGGAAACTGAGGCTCAAGGAGAGGTTAAATGACTTGCCCAGGGTCACCTAGAATGTGGCGGAGGTGGGTTTCGAAAAAGGTCCTCTGACTGCAAATTCAGTGCTCTTTCCACTGTCCTCTGGTGAATGTAACAGTAAAAATCACATTGATTAAAACAGCATTTTTAAGGTTTGCAAGGTGCTTTTGCCCAAGCACCCCTGTGAGGCAGGCATCATAAGTATTATTCTCATTTACACATGAAAAAACTGAGGATCCAAGCAAGCTTAAGTGACTTCCCCAAGGTCTCACTGCTAGTAAATGTAAGAGCTGTGATTTGAAATCAGGCACTTTGATGTTGAGGCCAGGACTCCAGCCATTACCTAGAGAGGGTGTTGTGGAGGTGGATTTGGCAGGAGTTGGCAAACCATGTGATCTGGAGGGTAAGAGAAAGTGAAGGGCTAGGGACAGGTGTGAGGGGCAGAGCCTGGGTGACCAGGTAGATGTTGCTGCCCTCAACAGAAGCCCAGGGTCAAAGGACAGATCCAAGAGGCCCAGGAGACATTTGGAGACCCAAATGTCCGGAGGCCAGGGGAGAGATTTGGCCACGGGCTGTGCATCTGGGCGGCAGGCTGGTGAAGCCAGAGCAGCCCTTCCCACAAGGGCGTTCTTAAATGCGTAATACAAAATAAGCCGGAAGAAAAAGGAAAGAAACTATATTGGAGTAGACATGTAGTATTTTCCCCTCCCAGTTCATGGACCCCTTGGAGATCAAATACCGGGATTAAGGCTGTGATTTGTGAAGGGAGAACTGGATTTGAAAGTCATCTGAATAGAGACAGTACCAGAACTCATGGGAGCAAATGAAGTCACCATGGAAGAAAACAGAGAGAGAAAAGGAAAGAGGGCCCAGGACAGAGCCTGGGGCCCCCCGGGTTAGAGACTGGACAGAGGAGGTAGAAATGGTAAGGACTGGAATGGATGCTCAGACCCGTCAGGGAAGGGCTTCGGGACTTAGCTGCTAGCCAGTCTTGGTGACCTCGGAGAGGGCAGTCTCAGGGGCCACCCTGTGAGGAGCTGAGCAGTGAGTGTAACGTAGAGAAACGACGACAGGGAAGGTGGAAGCTTCTTTCCAGGAGCTTGGAAGTGAAAGAGAAGGGAGAAGAGAAACCAGTCGTTCTCCTGAGGGGATGGCAGGGTTAAGCAAAGGGTTTTTAGTGTTTAGGCCGCAAGGAACAAACC